GGGGGGGACAAAAAACCTACAAACCTATTTTTGTATTCAAATTCAAACAAGGTGGCTCTACTAATCACTGCTAGACTAACAGGGAAGGAAAAACAAGTAATATCCCTCCCTACAGAGTCAAGATTTCAGTTCCACAAACTCCATGGAAGATTTTCTCCTTAATGGAGCTGATTTCAAGACAACAAGTATTCTATATCAGGCAAATTTAAAAGAAAGTGAAACTTTAAAAACCGTTTTAAGTCCAGGCTTCTTCTGCACTATGTTTGCTATTGGACTACAAACTGAACTGAGCCTGACAAGGAATACGAGACTAAACCAGGATAGAAACACATAAAAGAAGTCTAAAAATAAGCATAAAAAAATTGATATAAGGAAATAGGAAACGCTTAGTAATTATGGCTTTGAGCTTTGAATACACTTTTGATGATGCCAAACAATTCCAAGTTAGGCATAAACACCAGGATATAACTAAACTGAACCTGTCTCATATTTAGGTACAACCAAACTTGAGTGATCTACAATTTTAAGTATCAGATCTCAAACATTACAAGTAACATCATAAAGAATATATTCTAGTGTCAAAACTGCAATAATTTTCTTACCATTTATGGTTTGGAGCCAAATAATTACACATATAGTAGTATATACATAAACTTTAAATATAACTGAAAGAGGTTATCAGACTTCTTTACAATATTACAGATTTGGGGTGAGAGTATTCTTACTGTGTTTCCTATAGCATGCTTTCATTTCAGTAAATGAGTTAAAGTGCATATTGATGTTAGGAAGAGTAAAAAAAAAAAATTTTAACAGGAGTCCTGTAAGTTTTAACATATTTAGAATTTTGCTAGAAAAGTAAATATATTTTTGTAGAAGCTTCAGTTTCAGCATTCCATTTTAATGCAATTGTGCTTTGTTATCCCACATAAAACTTTCAGTTATAAAAGGTGGAATTATTCTATTAATGTATAAGGAAAGTTATTAAAAAAAATCTTAACTATAAAATTAATAATGTATTTTTAAAATATTAAATTCAGTAACTCTAAGAAATGGCAGTAGTTTAATTAATGATATAAAATCATAGAACATATATCTTGAACAACAGGAATTTTTTCCCAAGTCATTGGAGAGAGCTAGGCATGATTGAAACTATAGTAAGGAATATTGTCTGGATTTATTTAATTTGGTTTTTGGAAGGTATCTAACATTTCCTGTTACTCAGCAAGATCTACCCATGCAACTATTTGTACATGTAGAATGTCAACTCTGACTGTTGTGACAATGCTCAAAGTAGCATTGCATCAGTAATTATTCAAAAACTGTTGCTATTTTTAGTCATGACATGCATTTCCCAGCATTGCACTGCTTCGGTGAAATTTTATTGTAATATATACCATTACTAGTACTAACTGATTTTGATAATAGAACTGAATTTTTTTTTAAAAAAAAAAAAAGTAACAAGTAACTCAAACATGTAAAAAGGGTTTGAATGCACTATGAGTATTTCTTTTTCAAAAGATGGTATTATCTTCCAAAACACAATTTAATTTTAAAAAAAAAAAAAAGCAAAGTTGAGAGAAAGACTTTTAAAAGAAACTCCACTGCCCTAACAGTGAAACACCCGTGGCTTCAGTTTGATCAAAGTGAGACTGTGCTTGGTCCCAAAAACAGGAGAAGCAAAGCCTTTAATTACAAAGGCTGAATCCCATTGTGCAGAGAGAAGTACTGCATTTAAGTATCTGGAAGAAGAACAGTCAAACTCTGGATTTTCAACTACTAGATATTAAATTGCACACTTACAGAAATAACTTTTTCTAACACTTGCTGTATCAATCGGATGCATTCAGTGATAAATCCTTGTAACTTCTATAATTTATATGGACTAACACTTCCCATCTTTGCCATAACATCTAAAACCAAGATTCATTGTTCTGGTTCCTGCTTATCAAATATTATACAGAATAGTTATCTTAACAGAAATCTCTTCACTTCCTAAGCAAAGAGGGGAAAAAAAAAAAAAAAAAAAGACGTAGTATTCCAAAACATTTGATCATTACTGGTTTAAAACAGTAACTTTAACTTGTACAAGAGCATATTTTCCTCCTATCCACAAGGTGGTGCTGCAGTCCTGTTTTAGAAAATCTCACCTATACTCTTGAATTGGTTTAACATTTAGAAGAAATTTCATTTCATTTCATTGTTAGGATAATGAACCGTGATTTGCAAGGTCTATTTTCAATTAAGGAGAAAAACATGTTCACATCATCTAACTTTTCTTTTTCTAGGGTTTTTTTTTCCCCCCAAAGCAACTGGAAAAGTACTATTGCAAAAGTTCAAAACCCCTCAACTAAAGTTTATATAACATAATGGATCACCGTTATGTTCTTTTGTTTGTATGTAAAATAGTCAATTTATATTCCGTATGGTCATAGAAAAAAATCATAATTATTGTTAAAACATATAAATCACTTTTTACAGCATAATGTCAAACAGCTGCTTTCGCCTTAATTTACAAACTCTGCCAAAAAAATCCACTAGTTTTGTGATAGGAAACTCCCAAAATCTTTTCAACTGGAGTATTATAGCACAAAGCAACCTTGATATAATAGGCTATCAATTTACACAGAGCAATGAATAAGTAAAACTTATCAAGCCTCACATATCTTTGATTATATAATGGTTATGGAAGTATTGCATCTACCTACATCTCTAAAGAGAAATTTTAATGTGGCTTCAAATCTTTAAAGTGTTGTGTATCTTTGTATACTGGATAGTGTCCATCTATGCTGCTAGTCTTAAAACTTGTTGGGTTAGATCACTAAAACGCTCAACACATCTCTTGCAATCAAAGCCTGTGGACTTACTTGCACATTTTCGTGTTTAGGATCAAACTGACCCTCACTTTGTCAGTGTTAATGGAAGCCATAATGTGCTGGTGCTCTCCAGCTCAGCATGAAAATTTATATTTAAAAAAAACAGCAAAAGGGGTACATATTTGAAATTGCATATTTAAGTTTTCATTAAGACTTATTCAACAGTACAGATGGTAAGTCAGTATGTAAGAAAGCCTCTTGAGTATAATAAGCAAGTCCCAGCTGGAATGTTTCCAACAGGATGTAAACCATGGTCCTCAAGCCTGCACTTTAAAAAACATATTACTTAGCACACTGCTAACAAATGTCAACCCCAAAATACACTGCTGTAATGATTTCACTTTACAGAAGTGAACAGTTTTGAAAACTAAAAAATGGAGTTGGGAGAGGGAAATCAATACACAGATACATGAGAAAATATTTATTAAAAGGAATAAAAGCACTGGTGATCATTACAAATCTGATATATTAAAAATTTAATGCTGTACAAACATACATATTATTTCTGATATCTGTAAATCAACAGAGACCAGGCCTGAAGATCTGTGCTTTCAGGTCTTCTCAGAGGTGTTGCTTGATGTTTTCAACAATTCTGATGTTTCTTCAATTCTGAAAATAAATTTTGTTTACACACAGAGTAAGAAATAACTGAAATACTAACAGGAAGCACAAAACCTTAAGTTTCCTCTCACCCCCCCCTTTTCCTCTGCAATTGGTTTGCATTTTAAATGTCTACCACATGTCAATAAACTTTAAGTATACATAAAGATAGAAGTAACCCACAAAATAAAACCACAGAAAGGATACAGTTTTTCAGGGCAAGCACTTACAGAATAAAAATCTCTTGCTAAAGAAACATTATATAGCAATACATTTCTCTTCAGCACACTCTTCAAGTGTATTTCTTACAAAAAAACTGTCATTACGAATCTCAGGACTAGTATCTAATACACCTTTAATACAGTTAACACAACGCTTAGGCGGAAATTGCTTTTATTTTTCCTTAAATAATAAAAAATAGAGCTAAGGTATTGTTATTCTTCAGGACGTTGCAAGTACCAGGGAATTCCTATCAGAAGTAATACTCCTATTCTTTAACAACCAGATTCTAAACACTTCAGTCTCTCATTAATACTACTAAGAATGCTTTCTATCACTTTTTCAAAAGCAAAATAGGACTCATCCCACAAATAGTGAACTGAAAGAGGATTTATTATCCAGTGGAGTTATAAGGAAATGCCACACCTGATGTAGAGACCTTTGAGGTTTGGAACACATATGTACGTTCTCTATATGCCTTAGTCCAGCACAACTCCCTCCTGGGAAATGAATTCCTCCTGCCCCTTCCTATTACTTACATTTTACTTATCCTTTCCATTCTTTGTCTTGTTGTCTCCTACAATTTAAAAGCAACAAAGTTAGTGAACACTTCAAAGCTAACATTCTTCAGATGGACTTTCAACCTGAAAATTTTTGTAGAGAAAATGTGACTTTTAAGCACTGTTTACATATCAAAAGGATTTTTGAGACATACCTAGATGCAGTTTTGCAGTTTTCCTTGTTTTTCACTAGTAGTATATACACCTAAACTAATGCTTACTTGTTCTCTTGACATAAGAAGGAAAATCAGCTAAGCATTTGTCAGTTTCACTTACCTTTGAAATGTCTGTCAGATTATGAGAATTAATGGTCATGGCTTTGGGAGATGGGTCTGTGAATAATAGTGAACTGTATCCAGGCAACTGATGAAGACTCTCTGGCATCTCCTCTTTCCTCTCTGTATCTGTGGATAAATACTCGGGTTTGTATCACCTTTGCCTTTTTGCTCTCTTATTGCACAGTCAGGTATCAGATAGCTTGATTTACAGTATGCAATAACAGAAGAGAATGCATTGTTTAGAGGGGAAAAGAAAAGCTACCAGTGAGAGTCCAAAATAGGTTTCTCATTTTCTGCACAAGGTAAGTGCAGTATACTATGTAGAATACAAAAGACAAATTCTAGAAAGATTACTAGGAATGATACCTTTATCCCGATTACAGTAAAATCAACACTTAAAGTCTAGTTACTGGGTCAAACATTTAACAGTAATATCAAATAATTTAGATTGTTTTTATTGTAAACTGCCTGTTCAGACATGTCTTAAATTTGTGTTAAGTAACATGTCTTATAAGCAGCAGAAACATAACTAAAATCATCACCTTCCTTGCTTAGCTTAAAATTTGTATCAAGGTCTTGCTATTTCCCTAGCTCTCCTCCTATGGGGATAGGTTTAAGCAATCATTCAGCAAAAACAGATGACTTTTACATTGGGAAAGCTTTCATACTCTGCAATTTTAGAATAGTATTGTCAAGAAGAGAATGTAGTATTTAGAGAAAAAAGTGTCCCCATACCCTTATTTTTTAGTAAGGCCACCATCTATGGACCATGCCTTTGGAACATGTTTAGCTACACTATTCTGTATTTAAAATCATATTAAATTATTTTTAATCAATTGAAATTAAAAATTGTTTCTTCTGTACAGCTGTGATTCCCAAAGAGCATTACAACCAAAAGGAGCATGAAAGCATTCCTAGTACCGTACATCTCAGAAGAGTTAAGACTGGCCACATAATTTGTATGCCTAGAATTTGCTGAATCATTTTTAAAAAAAACAGGAATAAAATTCAAAAGAATTCTAGACATCTGAAAATACGAAAATTCTCTTCTAAAGGCCACCAGCCTGCTTGCTGACTATGAAGTCCTCAAGTGTCACTAAACTTATGAAAGGAAGTAAACATGTTGCAAGCTTTCTAAGGTCTGTAAAAAGAAGGTCCCACTTCTGAGACTTCAAAATTCAAACAAGCTTTGACATAACCAAGAAACTGTCTCCCTAATTTCCACAGAAACTGGATTGCTGAGATTCCCTTTTAATTTCAGTGCAACTGCCTAACACTGGACAAAGATGCCTAATACATGAGAATGGGAAGAATAACAGCTGAACAGCTGCCATAGGAGAAACGGGCCAAAATAATAAAGAGAATGATGCAAGGTAAGGGCTAAAGAGCTAACACTGAAGAAGAGAGGAGAAACACTTATGGCCTGGGGAATGCGTTTCATTTCTTTCCCACTTAAGGCTGTTTCATTCACTTGTACATTACCAAAAATCAGGTCAGAAATGGAAGAAAAAGATTTTGTCTTGCTCTTGAAAATAAGAAAGCTTAGCAAAAATGCTAGTTGGATAGCTGTTAAGTGCTTCAAAAGGGATGAAACTGTAGAAATTGTTCAGCAGCAATTTGAAAAACAACACAGATTATGAATGAAAGAGCCCTGCTTTGTCCTGAGTGCCATTATAAGAGTAAAAAACATCATAAATGTGACACTATTTTGATTACAAAAAGTCAGTGATAGCAAATATTATTCCTTTTGTACTTAGAAATAGCTTGTTTTTAAAACATTATAACTGCTTTAAAGTGTAGATAGCATTGTTTTTCACGGCTTTAGCTATAGAACCTTAACCAAACTTGCATCTTCGAGATTTTTAGTAGTTGCTTGTAACTATTAATTGCAATGCTATGTATTTTCATTATTGCTTTAAAAATTATTTCAGTAAATAAAGCTTCTAAAGAATAAGCTACAAACTTGAATTGACTATCAGGTTAATTTCTAATTTGCAGCATGCATTTAAATTCAGAGGTCACTAAATCACAATTGTCTACTTAAAACCCACTATTTTAGTCAAGGTCAGCAAGAAGTGTTTAGCATATGATGTTAATTAAAAAGAAAATCATTAATACTCACCAGATGAAACTGGAATACTACTAGAAGTACATTCTTGACTTATATTGCTGAACTCTGTAGATAAGTCTCTCTGAAATACAAGTTTAGTGCATTTTAGCCATACACCCTGTTTAAATCATCTTTTGACAAACAAAAGTATATTTAAGTACTAATTATGTATGCAAGTGCTACATGCTCCAGATATGTTGACACTGCACCACTGTCGTTACAGAACTAAAAAAAAAATCCATAATTTGCATACACACATTGCATTAGAAAGACAGCCTATTTCATGGGAACTTTTTTAGCATCAATACTGCTGTTTATAAACAGCTCAAAACCAGGTCCAAATATAGTGCATGTAACTTAGGTACGAGCAGAATGAACAAACAATCAGACTGTTCTTGGTCTGTGCTAACAATTACATCTTGATATTGTCTGCTGCTACCTTAACAAAATAAATGTACTTTCTACATCTGATTGATATTCATAGATGCAATTCCTCTGTCCTAAAAATTAGACTATAGATGAACTGAAATTCATTCCACTTCAACACTTAGAGAACTCAAAAGTCTATGTTAAACTAGTTTCTCAGGCGCCTAAATGAGAGGGCTCTTTTAAGAAAGGTTCTCAGTTTAACTCAATCTAGTTTAGAAAAGGTTGTTCATAAACAATTAAACAAAATTAATGTTGCATTAATAATAAATATTTTTAAGTGCAATTTTCTAATTTCAAAATTAAAAAATCCAACATTCAACATCTAGACTTTTTTCACCAATGAGTTATCGTTACAATTTGAAATTTCAGCCTTTGGTAAAGTATATTACTTTATATATACTGGAGTAACTATATCAATTAACAGGGGAATATTATACTCAAAGAAGTGAATGAAGGAAAAATAGTAGGTATTGTGTAGGAAGATGGAAAAACAAAACAGTAATACCTCTTAAAAAAAAAGATATCTGTGCTGACTACTGCTCAATTCCTTTCATTGAACATGGATTTGGTATCTTTCAGACTTTCCCAGAGCTAAATGCACAGCTGCTGCTACTTTGGCAACAGTGCAAGACAGATCTTAGAGTGTTCCTGCTACGTTGGCTAGATGCCAAAAGTTCCCTGAAAAATGCAAGAATAAGAAGAAAGGAGTAATTCTGAATTGCTTCTCTATCTGTGAAGCACAACTTGGATGGAATTTCATGAAACAAAGCAGCAGCAATTCTCTGGCCCAGAGGATTATTTCTTGGCAGTTTTCAAATGCCTATTGCAAAAAACTTAGGCTTTTGAAGACTTATTTTTAATATAAAACCCAGCTTATTTTGCTTTGAAAAAAGACAAGCAACAATGCCACACACAAACTACATTCAAAATTGTTTCTGCAGATGACTCCTTTCAGTAACATGGACTACAAGTTATATTACTGGAAATTTTTGAATGATCTTAATGTTAACTTAATGTTAAATATTTTCCAAATACTATTCCAAACCTTTGAACAACTGCAACAAATGTGTTAGTGAAGTAATAATATACCAAATTTATAGAAATAAAAGAACAAGCCTAGTCTGAAACACAAGCATTCCCGTGCTGCTACCATGATAAATGCAACTCTTATCTCTTGAAGAGAATACACTTGAAACGGGAGCAAAACTGTCTACGGCTGTTCAGCTGAAGGCCCCTTGAGACTGCTTGCAGAAGACATTATCATTGTTGGTGTTATTTGGAAATATATGTCCACTGATAATTAAATTACAATATCCATAAGAAACTGATTTCAAATGGTAAATCACTTGAGCCATTACTGACCTGAAATTGTGTTTTTAAAAAAAAAAGTGATTGAGAATGTCAATTCTTATTTGAGCCTCTAGAAATAATGTGATCAGTCTGAACACTCCTCCATTTCAAGACTTTAACTAATGCAAGTTCAAAGAACACAAAAACACCCATGTCTCGTATACAAGTATTAGTGACATTTTCAAATAGGGCCAGTAACACACACAGAGCTCCTGCTTACAAATAAGTTCAAAATTTCAACAGAGAAAAGTGCAACACTGATCAACTATTTTCCAGAAGAGTTTTCAACTTCTGGAAAGCATCTGACAGTATCTGAAGGATACACAAGACACATAATGCAAATACACTTTGAAATTAAGCATGTGATCACAAAATTGATGCTACAGTTCACTGCATCTCAAAATACTTACATGTGTACGTATATGAAATTATACGATGTGCATACAAGGACCTTTCAACAACATGAAAAATAACAGTCTTAATGCAACAGAATACTTGATTTGCTCTGACAAATATGCCAATTGTAGTCACATTGTAAATGCAGAACTTTCACGCATGTAAGAATGTCATGAACATAATGGACAAGAAATTAGGCGGGGGGAGGGGGGGGAGAATGTACAAAAAGGAGAAACTAGGCTAGAAATTCCAGAGAGCCACAAACTAAGAATAGGACTAAAATAAGAAAGAATTAACTTTTCTATTAACCTTGTATTTTCCTTGAGCATGCCATCTATTTTTGTCAACATTAGTTATGTAAAATGAAGACTTAATCTTCCAAAGGAAATAGTTGTATCTGATTAGAGTCTGGAGAACTAAAAAATAGCTATTCAACTGTATCAACAGTAACAATATTTGCAGCCAGTAAAGACATTCAGAAACCCTCTCAAATACAAAACATTAAGGTTTCAAAGACGTATAATTAAGCATCTTCAAAAGCTTCCTCCTATAAGTTCACTAGGAAATAAAACCACACACAGTCACTAGTAATAAAAATAGGCTTAGCTATACCTGCTGTTCCTGCAAGGAAATAATTTCCAGTGGAGAGTTTTGCTTCACAGAACATGAGAAAACAACAGGACTTAACAGTGAAGAAAAAAATACCATCAACTCCATAAAGAGCACTTCCATTCAGATAATGCCTTTAAAAATAGTGGAAAAGCATACCTCAACAGGCAGGAAAAGCAGAAACAGGCTGACAACATTGTGACTGGACAACTTTTCTTATAGAAGAAAAGCAGACATTAACATACCTTTTTGGATTGCAACAACAGTTCTGTTTCAAGAAGTAAAACTCGACTCAACAAGTTATTCCAGTCCTTCTCATCTACGATCACCTTGCCTTTCAGTCTCTCTTCTAGAACATGTAGTTTATCTTCCATCCAATCTAGTTTATGCAGCTTTTCCTGGCAATCAGCAAGCTGACTCTTTAGGAACTCAATCTGTGAATTATCTCCTATGACCTGAAAATATGGGTAAGAACACATGTCCTCAAATTTCAAAACAGATATGTAAATCAATGAAATTAAGTGGAATCTTCCTCAAGTTCAGTAATCACATTCTGCTACATTAGAAAATTATTTTTCTTTCAGAATTGCCACAATACGCCTATTCATGGAACCTGGCTTTTAAAAGAAACTGTTGACAGAACTGGCTCTTGAAACGACAGTACAATTTAACTGAATTTTTTTCAACTTTTTTACTATTAGGTATACTTAAGGAGCATCCAGCTATCTTGTAAAAAACCTTTATCCCTTTAGAAAAGACCTGTAAGAAAAGTTAATATATGCAGACAACATCTTAAAATAAAAGTTCTTACTTGTTCATATTTAACTTCCACAACATCATGATCTAGGCACAATTCTTCTTCATCACCTCCCTGTGCTGGAAGGGGTAGGGGATGAAGGTCACCACTAACTTCATTTCCTGAGTGCCGTTCTACTTGAGGCTTCTTCTGAATATGTTAAAAAAAAATAAAAATCACTGGTGTTATTCATTTCAAGAACATTTCAGTTCATCAGCCAAGTAACTGACACAGAAGACCTATCATTTTAGTGTTTACCGATTTATTTAAATCTGACAATCTTATCCTAACTGGTTGAAAAACAAAGAAAGCAACAGCAAGCAGTTTAATTCAAAAAAAAAAAAAATCAGAGACATAAAAGAACTGCAAAACAAATATAAACAAACCTTACCACATGTACCTTCGCTCCCTTCCATAAACAGTAATGAAGGCATTAATGTTCTCTCTTATTCTAAGGGTTGTTAGATTTCTAAGTGTTGGGAGGTATGAATCTCACTGTATGTATTAACATAATTATAGACAGTCTCAGCATCAAAACCACCCCTCAAACATTCAAGGAGGGAAAAAAAAAAAAGCAAATTTAGAACTCTCTCTTTTCCTTGACAAGTGACAGCAAAATAGCCCTACTAGCTATATATTTCATTTCCTTTGAAAGCCTCCCTTAGAGAGAACAAACTATGAGACAAATTTTGTCTTTTTCTCCAGGTGGATCAAGTCCTATGATCACTATCTGACACAAAACAAAATTACCTAATGATTAAGAACCCACAATTACTAGTTTTGTGCAGCATCTTAACACTTACAGATGTTCTAGTGAAGCTGAAACTCTCCTCTTCTAGGGAATTCTTAACACACCCACATATATCCCCATTCAGTTCTAACATTCAACAACCAGAAGTGCCAGATAAGTCATTCCAAACACTTTCTTTGTGAAGTTTTCCTCACTTCTAAAGCACTATTTTCCTTCTAAATATAAAACATCAACATTTAATGAGCAGTCACAGTCTAAAAGTTTTATACGATTTTACTTTGCATCCTTTTAGCAGAAAATATTAGGAAAGCTGACTCCTCCACAGGCCAAGAGTAGCATAACACATAAGATCAAGTGTTACTCTTGTAAAACAAAAGCCAAGAGGAATGTTACATTAAGAAACCTTCGCTGAACAGATTCAGACAAAAAAAAACAAGACAAAAAGTGTCTTGAAAGCTACATTGAAATCACCAAGCACACATCAATCTCCAAACAGGATGTATATACTTTTTCCAATTGCATCTTCATTTTCATTGCTGTCCCTCCAGTTGATATAATTCAAACAGCAAACAACAGTACTACAATATTACCACCAAGACTTTGAGATCAACCACCCGGTAAAAGAGAGAAGTGATATCCTCTGTATCAGCTATTATTTCAGACAACCACACTTGGGGAAAAAACAAACAAACAAACAAAAACAAAGCCAACAACAAACAACCTAGTTTGATCAAGCATTAAAACCTAAATGAAAGCACATATTCCAGAAAAATCCTGACATGCTACAAATGAGATTAACCTTTAGACATACAACATATAAACTATTTTCATACCTGTTTGGAATTCAGAGCACTGCCACTAGGATCAGCAAAGACATTAACACAATTTGACAATACTTCACATTTAGAAGATCTGAGGTTTTTCCTCGTTTGGGATTTAACCTTCAAAGGGAAGAGGAGAAAATATTACACTTCTAACACAGGAATCTTGGGGCGGGGGGAAGAGAGGGATGGGACACATGACAGACACAGGACAAAGACAGACACACAGTACAAAACACAGGGACAGGATGACACACCCCGTTTTCTGCCATCATTAACAAGCAGGAATGTTTCATCACACACACAAACACATTTAAACCTCTGCAGTACAGTACTGTCATAAAAAAAAAAAAGTATGACCCAAATTCACAGAGGAAACAGAACTGGAAATGAATGTCGTATTCATACACTCACTAATGCCTATGTGAGGCTGCAACAAAGGTGGTTGTAAACAAAAAACAAAACTTGAACGAGTTGAAAGACAAATACAAAAAACATAGTTATGCCCCCAAAAGTGAGAAATATACAGAAGTCCTAAAAACTGTTATAAATTCAAACAAAACAAAATTCCGTCAAATATGAAGACTGAAAATTCCTTTATTTAAGCACAAATTGATACACAGCATACACCATTGCAAAAATGCCTGAACAACGTAAAACAAAAATGATTAATGAAAATAATCAAATTTGAGATGTATACCACAGAAACACATATACAAGTGTCATGTTTAAATTAAATATTTCCAGAACTTCTAACATATCAGACAATTTTGCTCTGTTTTTAAATCTTCAAAGATTAGATTTAGACCTGCAAAGTCTATCAAGTTACACAAATATTCACTATATCAAGAAGCATAAAAGGAAAGTTATCACTTACTGTAAAGATACCAAATACTAGATTTAGCTTTATTCTGATTCTTTATACTACAAAGCATTGTCAGCTTTGTGTCTTTTGTATACCTGATAGCATTCAAGCATCTTACAATGGAGCTTTAAACAATTTTCCTTTTATTTTGACTATCAGCAATCCTGCATCTTCAAATAAACTGGTCTTCAGCTTCTACCTGCAGTATTAACATGTCAAAAGAGACTTTTATAATAAAGTTACCATTTAATCAGTACCTTATTCGAGTTACTTAATTCCTTATGTTTTTTCACCACACAGTTGATAATGTCACAAACAATATGCATTTTCCTTTCTGCAAAGCCAAACTGAAGAAACTGATGTTTTGTTAAAACTGGTTTATATTGAAACTGATCTCGAAGAAGCTGCAACAAAATAAGAGTTTACTTCATTTTCAAAATCACCATGCAATTTCTTGTAGAAATGGCATGCTCACGTTCTTATTTTTCTACAATCTTTTACTCTGCACTTCAGCAATTAAACATTTTCTCATTTGGTTATTTATATATTCTTAGCTGTCTTCTAACTAGACTTTCAAAATACCTTTTGCAGAAACATTTCATTCATATCACTCTTGTAAATTTTAACTCAGTCTTAAGATTCATGAAATAAACGACTGCAGACATTAACATTTAAAAAGTTAAACAAAAACTTCCCGCAGTAAATGCACAATAAAAAGTTGTATTAAACTCAGCAAAATGCATCAGAGGGCTAAATACGGCTACCACAGAGGTTCTTTGTGAAGGAGTCTGTTCTTAGATGGAAAACTAGTCTAAATAAGCTAGCATTCTTTAATACAGAAAGTCACTTTTCATAAAATATATTTATTAATATTTTTAAGGATAGTCCAAATTACTTCCATTCAGTTAAGAATTTTATTACAATTTACAAACTGTTAAGTATTTGACTTTATATGTTAATATGGCATAGTGTTTTAAAATAGTTGTATTTATTAATTGTGCTTTCACTACAAGTATTGACATCTGCTGCAATTTTTTGCTTATTATTTCTTCTAAGGTCACTTTTATAAAACTGTGCCATAAAACTGTATAATAAATATTTTAGTATTCTTCACAACTAACATAAAACAATAATATTTCTGTTTCTGCAATTGTCTCAAAATTGAGATTTGCCTAACAAGACCCATCCTTATTTTCATGAAAATCTAAACAAAGACTTGCCACGCAGTGACTTACTACTTATCTTAAATCCTAACAGAATTACAATTTACTTTCATTGCCAAAAATTTTCACTTCCTAGTAAAACTCTTACTAGATGTTTAATTTTTATGAAACCATACTCAAAACTCTCTTCTGTGAAGAACATGAAGACAGGTACCTTATAAATAGCTTCAATGAAACGCAAGTCACTCTTTGCTGTGAGTTCCACATCACACTTTACCACAAGTTCTGCTACGTAAGTTGAAAAAGATGTAAAAGAATAGCTGATGATAGGTAAAAATGCAGCTGGATCACCCTTTACTAACCTATCGAGAAACAAAAGTATTTTACACAGCAGAAGGTAACAAAAGCTTTCATTACATTACCTCAAATGCTTAACTTGAAAGGTGTTTTAATATAGCCAGCAAGTACTTCCTCCATTTTAAGTTTTTTTCCCGGGCATATCTCATTCAGCAGTCTTTACTGTTACCTGTAAAATGCTTAAAATGTTGGGGGTTTTTTTTACCTTTATATAATTTTAACTTTATCGGGTCTAAAGTCCACCAACATTTCCATAATATTCACCACTTTTTTTCTTTTTTAATCTTTACAGGATGAAATTTCCTTAAGAAAGTTTTGCTAGCACTTAAAGAAATTATAAAGGTGAGACATTAATCAAAGAAAACAAAAAAAGCAGAAGAAAGAAAAATCAAGATAGTGATACATTTCAGGATTATTCTAAGGATTTCTCAGAACAGCAAAACTGCATCCTTTTATCTTCCAGTTCACATATATCAAACCTCAACTTCCCACAGACATATGCTCTGCTTACTCATCACTGGGTGCGATGCTAATATTTATACATATCTTGTTTACACATCTTGCTGTCATCATGTATTAGCATAAATTTATTCACACTGCCACTTACACTGTATAATCCACATCTCTTGGATAATTTAACAAGCGAAGTCCTTGCTCTATTTTTCTCAAACTTCCTTTTAGGTCTCCTGTTGCCATTGCTCCAAATGCTATTATTCTTTCAGATTATGAAATAAATATAATAGAGTACATTCTCCTCTAAAAAAAAAAAAAAGTATACAAAAAATACAAAATGTAATAGAATTATCACTGAAAATCAAAGGCATTTGCTTCTTTTTTCTAGACACTACTATTTCCAAAGTGTTATAATACAGTACAGAGCTACAACTCAATACCAATTAATATCAGTAATCATCTTCATTCATTCTGAATAGGATCAAGTAGTAATCCTCAATCCAGTCAACTATCAAAGATCTTTAAAGTATCTGAAATCATATTAAAAATTTAGGACTGGCTAAATCCACTCAAACTGAGCAAAACCAAATTTCTTCACCTTTTCAAAAGAGCAGAAACTCCACAAGTAGTGAAAACTTCTTCAGTTTAGAATGCTTATTCTTTTCTTCACCTGGCCCCAATACCAATAAAAAGGCAAGACTAGCAACTCATTACAGACAATACTTCTCTATTTAGACAATCCATTAAATACACTTAAAATTGTTCAGGGAGGGAGGGGATAACAGTGCCTAGATATTTCAAAATAGGTGCAAGATTATTAGAATGATAAGTAAAAGGTCCCTGTTTAAGTTTCTGCATTGTAACACACAAGTTGAGAACCCACTTTTAATTTATTGTGGGCTTTGCTTCACAGAAGAGAATCATCTAAGAGCAAACTACAAAAAGGTGCCTTTCTCCCTGCAGAATTATTCTGCACGTAAACTGATGACTGCAAGAAAGGGGGGAGGAAAAAAAAAAAAAAAAGAAGACAACAAAAGATAATCAGCAAGGCATGAAAACACCATAATCCAAATCAGTTTTGAGATCTATCAAAAGGATAAATACATACAGGAAGCCCACACTTGTAATACGTTTTACCAAACAGAACCGATTAGTAAATTCCCAAATGGATGAAGAGAAGACTGGGGGGTGGGAAGGAATACCTAAGAGATCTAAAAATACTGACAACTTTACCTGGCTGGCAGATAGTAAAGTGAAACACCTGAAGCAGTACCTTCAAATATCAGAACTAATAATTACCTTAAGGAACCTTGTTCCTCACTCCACTGCTTCAAAATACACTTATATTTAGAGATAGCCTATGAGTCCTATTTACTGTATCTTCTAACCATTTGTTTATAAGTAACCAATATTAGCTCAGCTCTTCTCCAACACAAGACTTTAAAAGCACAGACTGGATGATAGCCTAGCTGTTAAGGCACAACTGGAAACAACCTTAGAAATCTGGACAGACTGATAAAACTTGAGAAAGTCTATTAGCAAACTGCCAAACAGTGTACAAAAAGTTGACACCTCACAAAAACAGCTCTCCTTCCTCACATCCTTGCAATGTGCTTGTGCCTGTCTTAATCCTCTACAGTACTCCCCAAAAGCCTCAGTAAAAGCAATGATTTCTGCTATAAAACCTTAGAACAGAAATTCACTCTTCAATTTTCTGCTAGAACCTAGGAGATAACTGCTACTGTCTTCACTGACTTTTTCTTGCCAAAAAACAAGTAATTTGAAGTCTACCAATTCAATCTGTGAATAGGCACTGACAGAAAGCCTATACTTGAAGAGATAGTCTGAAGATAACAGAATTTTGTATCATCTCTCTTGCTGACACAGAGATTCAGAAGACTAAACACTCCAAAGAGATTATCTCTAGCCTTGTCAGAAATCAACTCCAACGAGTACTCCATTTGCAGCTTTGTTAATTGGTCCTACTCATCAAAGCAATGAGTCTTCTTGAAATAAACTTCTTGACCACACACTTATAGTAAAATTTAAAAAAAAAAAAAAAAAAAAAAAAAAAAAAAAAAAAAAGAGCGGTGGTTTTGCCAAAAGTTATTTTCTTATGAACAAAATAACTTTGTTAACAACTCCACTGAGAAATATTTCTGATTTTTACAGATGGTCATCAAAACTGGAGAGGCATTAGCCCTGCAATAATCACTAAACTATTGATCAAAGCACTCACCTAAAGAGTAGGAGAGCCACATTCAGATCCCAGCGCTGCTTAGCCTTGCATTTGCCAGGCAGGTTTCACTCCATGAGCCATTGACTGCTTTGGGATTAGTCCCTCTCAATCTCTTCTACTGGGCTGATTTGATTTTATATGAACAAATATTAATTGCAGCAGACATAAACAGAGGTTTTTCCATAGCCCACATGAATACTATAACCACTGAGCTATAAAATTAGTGCTTCTCTGCCGCTCTCTAGCACAATAGATATTTAACTGTTTAAACAGTGAATGAAAGAAACGAAGACACAAAAGAGGAAACATTTCAGTATCCCAATAATTAGGTCTCTGAAAGTTGGAAGCCACTGGTTTCTCTCTGCCAAAGAAGGATCTTTATTCTCACAGAGAAGAGTATTTTTAAGTCCCAGACATGCTCTGAAAGATCCTTATTACCCAAGTGAATAAACAGCAGCTTGTATGTTCACCACAATTTAAGGGGCAAGAAACATGGAACATAGGTTGCTGTACCTGACACTGCATACAGACTAACATTGCTCATTTCCACACCGCTCCCAACGTACATTAATCTTTTCCCTGGTATGTAACCTATCGTTGCTTGTTTTACTGTGGCCTCTAGAAAAGGGCTCTGATATCATCATCACGTTTCATGGGATATAACCGAGAGAAATCATCACCTAATGATGATGGAGATCTGCAGTTTGTTCTTTTAGAGCAGAAGAACAAATCTTCCAAAATAAACCAGTTAAACTCTGGTCACACACAACATATCACTGTGTATCCAAATTGCAGGATACTCGATACTGAAGAAGGCGCCATTCCTCCTCTCCCTGCAAACCTGTATTC